GCGGTCCCGCCAGCTGAGGGGCAGTTCCGACCCGTGGAGAGGGGGTGGGCGGCGCTGCCTAAGGGGGTGGCGAGATCCTAGGGAGGCTGAGCCCCGGGGGGGAGCCAGTGCCTTGGGCCCTGCGGGGACGCGATGAAGGGGCTGGGGGCTTTAGGAGGGGAACCTGGGGCGTGTGGGAGTAGCGTCTGGAGGAAGTGGTGCTAAGTGGGTGGGGTCCTGAGGTATGTGGAAGGGACACCGAGGTAAATGGAAGAGGACATCGGAATGTGGGGCGAGGGGTGGGACAGGTTATGGGGGGGCAGTGTGTATTTAGAGGCAGAGTAGGAGGAGCGACAGAATAGAATTTGGGGCACGGAACTATTACTTTAGGGGGCAGCGTGGTATCGGGGCAGGTAGGCACGTGGTGGGTGGGGGGTAATGTGGGAGAACCAACAACTATTTTGGAGGGCAGAAATACAAGCTATGTGGGGTCACAGCGGCACGTGGAACTTGGAGTGTCAGGCTCGGTCCGGCAGAACTGGGTTGCGGTTTCGGCAGACGGAAGCAGTTAAGACCGTCTTAGGAAAACAGTCCTTAGCCCCGGCGAATACAGACTGGAAACAATTCTTTAAAAACACCTCGGCGCGGCGCGGGATTGGTGGTCGAGGCTACAGACCCCCCCCTCCCGCCCGTCAGCGCGCCCAGGCGCGGGCCGGGAGGCCCCCCCACCTCGGCCCAGAGAAAGCGCGAGTATCTAGGTGGGCGGCCCAAACCTCGACTCCCGGTGTTGCCGGGCAACAGCCATTCAGTTCGGTTGCTGGGACACGCGTCACCATGGCGACGGCTCCGCGCCGCGCAGTCTGAGTATTTAAAGAGCAAGCGCGCGCAACGCCCGGGCGTCCGAAAGCGGCCTGCGGGGCACCCCCCGGTGTTGCCGGGCAACAGCCATTCAGTTCGGTTGCTGGGACACGCGTCACCATGGCGACGGCTCCGCGCCGCGCAGTCTGAGTATTTAAAGAGCAAGCGCGCGCAACGCCCGGGCGTCCGAAAGCGGCCTGCGGGGCACCCCGGTCTCCCCTTCTCCCGTCACCCCCCCTTACCATCCCCGTCACCCTTCCCGGGCCAAGTCTCTCTGGCTTCTAAGGTGAGCCCAACTTCCCAGCGCGCTC